TATTACGGGTGCGCCTGGGCCCGTCCGTGGCGGCGGCCGTGCGCAGCCCGGGCCTGGACGTGCGGCCCGTGGCGCTGGTGCTCAACGGTTCGGACCCACGAAGCCTCGTGCTGCAGCTGTGCGACCTGCTGTCGGGGCTGCGCGTGCACGGCGTCGTCTTCGAGGACGACTCGCGCGCGCCCGCCGTCGCACCCATCCTCGACTTCCTGTCGGCGCAGACCTCGCTGCCCATCGTGGCCGTGCACGGCGGCGCTGCGCTCGTGCTCACGCCCAAGGTGCGCGCGACCGGCTGGGGGCGGGGCCAACCACAGGAGGCGTGTCTGGGACAGAACTGAGGGGCGTGGCCTTCCTTAGACAGGGCGGAGAGAGCCCTGTGGGTCGGCGTCCGGGACAAGGTGGGGCCAGGTGGAAGGGGTCAATCAGGCTGACTTGGAGGGGCGTGGTCTATAGGGTGAGCAGAGCCCTCCATGGGGTCACCAGAGGGAGGCCGGTCATCGCTGATCAGGATAGGGGGGAACGTGGACCCAGTCAGTGTAGGCGAGGGATTGCAGGAAAGGCTAGTAGAGGGAAGTGGTGGGATCTGGGGACGAAGCGGGGCCAGCCAGCGAGGGGCGGGGACTGGGACCAGCCCGAGATGGCAAAATCTGAGGGAGGAGTGGGATCTGGGATCTGAGAGGGGAGGAGTCAGTTGGAAAGGAATGGGGTTCAGAAAGGGACGAAGTCTAGTGGAGAGGCAGCCGGGAAGGCAGGGACAGGGACCAGGAGAGAGAGGCATCAAATACTGAGGGACAGAGTCAGGGAGTGTCTTGGCCAGCTGAGAGCAGAACCTAGAGGTCTATGCAGCAGGGTGGAGCCATCCAGTGAAAGGAGGCGTCTGAGAAGGGCCCGCGTTACTAATGAGGTGGACTGACGAGAGAGAGAACCAGGCAGCAAGGAAGCGAAGTTTAGGGCTAGGCCAGTCAGGGAAGGGATGGGGCTACCCAGTGAGGGGCCAGGCTAGAAATGAGGCGGGGCCTTAGCTCTGAACTAAAGAGGCGGGGTCCAGAGTGGATGAAGGTCCCGGGAGTGTGGTTTGAAAAGGGACATACCCAGCTGTGAGGTGTGAAAAGCGGGAATCCAGAGGGTGGGTCTGGGAGGATGAAGGCTCACGGTAGAGGCGGGACCAGCCAATGAGAGGTCAATGCCAGGAGCCCCCAGGGTAGGAGAGGGTAGAGGCTGAATCTAGCCGTGGTCTGTAGAGAGGCCTGCCTCCCGAGGGTACAGGAGGGACCAGTTGCAGTGGACTCCTGGTTGCGAAAGAGAATTGGACCAAGCTTGATCTGCGGGCTGAGAAGGGGTCAACTAACAGGTGGGGCCTGAGAGGCATGGGGGCTATTCAGGGGTGGAGCCAGTGGAACAGAGAGGCGGCACTTGCTGAAGGATGGGGCCACCTGGATGGGTGGAGCCTAAGTCTACCAATTTCCTACTCTGAGGACCTATGGCTTTGTAACTGGATCACTATTGCATTCTGGGACTTGTAGTTCTCTCCTATCCAGAACATTCTGGGAAGGACCTCTGTCCGACTTTCTTATTCTCCTTGGCAAGGTGTTGTACAGAGATTTGTAGGCAGATCACCTGGGAAGTGAACTTATGATTTCCTGGCTGCCGCCTCCATAGCATAGCCAGAGATGTGGTCCCTCTTGCTGAAAGTGTGGTCCGCTCTGTTTCATTGTCTGCTGGGCACCGTGGTCCGCTCAGTGTACACCCATTGCGGTCTGGGAAATGTAGTCCCCTCACTGTCCCTGGTTGGAAGAAAGGGTGGTCCTCATAGCTCCATTTATGCCCCATCAAATGCTGGCAATGTGGTCCTCTCAGCACACATCCGCCTGCTGAAGGGTGAGGTCCTCTCAGGGTTCTCATTGCATGCTGGTAGACCTCATCCCCTCAGGACAACTTCCGTCTCCCCTACACATATAACCACAGGCACGTTCCTAGGGAGAAAGTCCACTTGCTGTTCTCAGTGAATTACAGGAACATTTATTGAGGGCTGATTCTGTGCCAGGGTTGTTTTAGGTTCTGGGGAATACAGGTGGTGGTGGGCGGGGGGGGGGGGGGGGGGGGGGGGGGGGGGGGGGGGGGGGGGGGGGGAACAGACAAGGTCTCTGCCTTATGGAATTTGCATTAGAATAGGGGAGACAGACAAAACAAGTAACAGATAGTAAAATCTGTCCTGGAGGAAATCGACAGGATGTTATAATAACTGAGGATGGTGCTTCAATAGATGGCAGTGAGGAAGCCCTTCCTGAGGAGATGACACCTGAGCTGGACCTGAGGAATGAGGAGGGTTAGGTGCAGCATAGAGGATGTGGGGGAAAGTGACCCCAGGAGAGGCAATAGCTAAGAACAAAGCTCTTGAAGCCAGAAAGAGCTTGATGTGTTGGAGGACAAGGAAAGAGGGAGTATGGCTGGACCCGACTGGGGACGGGGGGTGGCAGAAGATGATGTCAGAGAGGCAATGGGGCCAGTTCATGCAGGGCCTTGTGGGCCACAGCAAGGACTTTGGCTTTGATTCTGAGGTAGAATCATTGGAAGGTTTTCAACTGAGAAGGGATGTGATCCAATTAATAATTTGAAATGATCACTCTGGCTACGGTTTGGAGAACAGACTGGAAGATGCAAGAATAGAAGCAGAGATGGGTTGGAAAGCTGTAGATGCCTAGGCAAGAGAGAAAGTCGTGACGATGAGAGTGTGACAGTGGCAGCAGCGAGGAGTGGACAACTGGGGTTATGTTTGAACATAGAAGATGGCCTCATTGTGGGTGTGAGAGAAAAAGAGAGGGAAAGGATGATTTAGTTTGGGGGCCTAAGCATCAGGGTGAATAAGAAAAAGAAGACAGGGATCAGATTTGAAGAAAGATCAAGAATTCTCTTGTGACATGCTGATTTTGAGATGCCATTTGGAAATCCAATGGGAGATGTTGAATAGAGAGGAGGATAGTATATATAATTACAATGCGTCCATTAAAACAAATAAATTACAAAAAAAAAAAAAAGAAAGAGGGATAGGTTTGTCTGGAGCTCATGGGAGAGGCTGTGACTGAGGATAAGGAGCCATCAGCATTCCAGCGATGTCCAATAGAATTTTCTGCAATGATGAAGATGGCGTGTATCTTCTCTGTTCAATATGGTAGCCACAAGCTACATGCTGTTGAGCACTTGTGTGGTTAATGCAACCGGAAAACAAAATTTTAATTTTATTTAATTTTAATTAATTTAAATTCAAATAGCTACAAGTGGCTAGCAGCTACCATATTGGATAGTGCAGGAGACAGTATTTAAATCCATGTGTCTGGATGAGATTGCCAGGAAGAGAGGACAGAGAAGAAAAGAGAACACTAGAACACTCCTACATTTAGAATTCTGGCCAAGGAAGAGGAGCCAGCATAGGAGACAGAGAAGGTGGAGATAGGGAGGTAGGAGGAAAACCAAAGAAGGGAAAGTTCACACAGCAAAGCTTCTTCCAGCTGGGAGATACAGTACCTTCAGCACTCTCATTGCATACTAGGAGATGTAGTCTCCCTCCTTGTATACAGGGAATCAGTCCCTTTCAGTGGATGCTGGGAGCTGTAGTTACCTCACTGGATGCTGGGTATATTAATGACAGTGATGTTAGATGCTATAACAGATAAATCTCCAAATTTCAGCAGCTAAACCCAATAGAAAGTTGTTTCTCAGTCATGTAAAATCCAAACAGGTGTTCCTAATTGAAGGTGGCTCTCCTCCATATGGTGACTCAGGGACTTAGGCTCCCTACCTCTTTGGCTCTGTCTGTAATCCCCTAGTACTTTAAAGTTCTCTTCTGGGGCCTCTGCATCTGCCCTCAAACAGAGAGAGAGTAAGGTTCATGGGGGAGAAATTTTATGGGTGAGTCTAGAAAAACAGCCATGTAGATAAACCTGACCCAGATCTAGCCCTGTGTCCTAGAAAGAAAAGGAGAGCAAGTTCGGTAAATAGCTAGTCAGGCTGCCATATTGAGAGTTGTGATCTGAAGTTGGCAGCTAGGAGCTATCATCCCCTTATCAGTTTCTGGGAGATGAGGTTCCCACATCAGGAGGCCTGACATCCTCTACCCTAACCCTCAGGAGAAGGGCTCCACCTTCCTGCAACTAGGCTCCTCCACAGAGCAGCAGCTTCAGGTCATCTTTGAGGTGCTGGAGGAGTACGACTGGACGTCCTTTGTAGCAGTGACCACGCGTGCCCCCGGCCACCGGGCCTTCCTGTCTTACATCGAGGTGCTGACTGACGGCAGCCTGGTGGGCTGGGAGCACCGAGGGGCGCTGACACTGGACCCTGGGGCAGGTGAGGCCGTGCTAGGTGCCCAGCTCCGCAGTGTCAGTGCCCAGATCCGCCTGCTCTTCTGTGCCCGTGAGGAGGCTGAGCCTGTGTTCCGGGCAGCCGAGGAGGCTGGCCTCACTGGGCCTGGCTACGTCTGGTTCATGGTGGGGCCCCAGCTGGCTGGAGGTGGGGGCTCAGGGGCCCCTGGGGAGCCCCTTCTTCTGCCAGGAGGTGCTCCACTGCCTGCAGGACTGTTTGCAGTGCGCTCGGCTGGTTGGAGGGATGACCTGGCCCAGCGTGTGGCAGCTGGTGTTGCCGTAGTGGCCAGAGGTGCCCAAGCTCTGCTGCGTGACTATGGCTTCCTGCCTGAGCTTGGCCATGACTGTCGTGCCCAGAACCGCACCCACCGTGGAGAGAGTCTGCATAGGTGAGTGGGGCTGGATGGGAGGGGTGTGGAAAGGCTTCCAGAGCCTGACTATGTGGAATACTCACTGGCTGAGAGGCTTCAAATGGGTCACATCCCCTTTCAGAGCATCAGTTTCCTTTTCTGGAAAATGGGTGTAATTGGGTCTCTTTACTGGGGTTAAATCAGGTAATTTGGAAAAAGTACCTGAAACACAGCAAGTTTATTACTATGTCTGATGACTAAGTAAGATACATAGTTTTTCACATTTTAATGTGTTTGAAATCAAGATGTGTCATAATTGATGGCTTATGATGGTTTAGTTGGCAGTACTTTTTTTCTTTCTTTGTGATACATAAAAATAGCAATACATCCTACAGTTGACAGCATCTTAGGTTCAATGAAATGCCCTAGTTAGAGTACGAGCTGAACTTCAATAACAAAAAGACCCAACAATCCAGTGGCCCATACAAGATAGAAGTTTGTTCCTTTCTCACATAACAACCCAGAGATCAGTAGTCAAGATTATCAGGAGACTGCTGCTCCATGTAATCATTCAGGGATCCAGGAGCTTCCCACCTTGCTTCTCTGGCATCTCCTTTCTATACAGTCAAAGCTGGGTTGTGGGCATGAGTGAATGGGTCTAACTCATGAGAAGAGGGAAAGAGGAAGTGGTGGGCAAGCAATTTCCTTTTAAGTGAGGTAGAAGGGACACAGCTCACATCCTATTGGTGAGAATGTAGTCACATGGTCAGGGCTGACTTACAGATTGTTTACAGCAGTGTGTATTCTGATTGGTTAGAGGGCCATTCTGATTGGTTAGTGCCTGTGCTGTACTGATCATTAGCTATTTTGAATATCACCCTTGCCCATGGCCTGGGCTAGCTGCAAGGAATGCTGGGAAATGTTAACCCTAGCTGGACAGCTGTGTGCCCAGTTTACATGCTATTATTTTAGAAGAGGAGAACAGAGTTTGTTGGAAGATAGCATCTCCACCATAGGAAGCTCTGGGAGTGGGGAAACAGATGAGTTTGGTGACAGAACAATGGAAGGAGAGGCCTTTAACCCTGAAGTGAGGAAGAGTTGAGTTTGGGAAGAAGAGATGGGTGAGGAAGAAGACCTAAGGGAGAAGAATTGAGAACTGCTGAGTTGGAAATCGGGATTCCAGAACAAGATGATGAGAAATGTATCCCTCGTTCATAAATACTTACTGAGCAACTGCTAGGAACTAGGGCTCATGCTGGGTGCTGAGAACAGAGAGATGAATAAGACCATGAACTTATTCTTCAAAAGCAAGGTCCTGTTGGGGTGGCAAACAGGGATGGGGATAATGACAGCGCAGCATGATGTTTGCAGTAATGGCAGTAGCACAGGCATTGTGGAAGCACCAGGGAGGAGTACTGGCTAAGACAGGACATTTTTGGTTGCAAGAAGAAGAGTCTCATTCAAGTGTCCTCAGGGGAAAAGGGGTTTATGTGGAAAGATAAACACACACAGAAACACAGACATCAGGAATGGAGGCCAAGCCAGAGGCCAGCTACTCTTTCATCTCTTTCTGATTCTGTCTTTCTTACTTTCTGCCCCTGTCTCTCTCTCTGCCTCTCTTTCTGTCTCTTTCTCTCCCTTTCTATCAGGCTTGCCTCTCCCAGAGGCTGTTCAGTTCTTTACCCAGAATTTCTTCCAGCGTACACAAGTCACAGGTCGGCCTATAGAGTCAGGGAGGTTTCTAGGACAAGGAGATATCTAAGCTTAGACTGAAGGATGAATTGCTCATTCATTCATTCATTCATTGAAAAGCCCTTTATTGAGAGTCTACTATGTGCCAAGAACCACTTTAGGCACAAGGGTATAGTGTTAAATAAGGTCCCTGCTCTCACAGAGCTTACTTTCTAATAGGCGAGATGAGCAGTGAACAAACAAGAAAAGAAAGAAGAAAATAGCAGGTGATAACTTCTGAGATGAAAATAAAAGGGAGAATATGATAAGAAATGCCTAGGGGGGCTAGGCTAGGTGAGGTGGTCAGGAAAGGCCTTTCTGACTAGGCAAAATTTGGAAGTTTTAACAAAATGGATAAAGAGAAGGAGCCAAGAAAAAGAGAGAGAGAGAGAGAGAGAGAGAGAGAGAGAGAGAGAAGGAGCCAAGCATTGGAAGATCAAATGAAGTGAGAGGGAATAGCAGGTGCAAAGTCCCTGGGGCTGGAATTGCCTTGTCTTTGTCCATTTTGTGCTGTTTTAACAGAATAGCCCGGACTGGGTAATTTATAATGAACAGAAATTTGGCTCATAGTTCTGGAGGCTGGGAAGTCCAATATCAAGGTGCCAGAATCTGGAGAAGGCCTTCTTGCTGTGTCATTACGTGGTGGAAGGCATAAGTGGTAGAAGGGCAAAGACAAAAGGCAGGGAGGGGAGAAGGGATGAACACACTCCTGCGATAACAGCATTAGTTCATTCATGGAGGCTCTGCCCTCATGACCTAAACACCTCTTAAAGGTCCAACCTCCCAATACTATCACAATAGCAATTAAATTTCTATTTATTTATTTCTTTGTTCATTTATTTATTTATTTACTTTTCTTGGTGGCTGGCTGGTATGGGGATCCAAACCCTTGACCTTGGTGTTATCTGCACCAGCTCCAACTGGTGAGCTAACCAGCCAGTCCCAGACTTCAACATGAGTTTTGGAGGGGACAAACATTCAAACCATAGCATGCCTGCTTGGGAGGCTGAAACACCAAGTGTGGCTGGAGAATAGTGGGCAAGAGGAAGAAAGGTAGGAGGAGGGAATGGAGAGACATATGGAACTCAGCTCATGTAGGGCCTTTAGGCTAGGGGAGGGGTTTGGACATGATTTTAAGAGTGGTGGGGAGTTCATCAGCAATAGTATTCCAGTCAGGGGGAACAGCATGTGCAAAAGCACAGAGGAGAGAAAAACTTGGGCAGATTGGTGGGACCATAATAGTTCAGAACAGATGGGATTCATGAGGCTGGGGAGGTAAATGTGCCACTTGCCTTGAATACCAGATTAAGAGATTTGGACTTTGTTCCAGGGTACTGGTGAGCCATGGGTGGGCTATGAGCAGGGGAAAGGTGAAGTCAGTTTTGGGTGTAGAAAGATCCCTCTGGGGCTAAGTGGAGTACAGACTGGAGGAGAGAGATTTGAGGTTGGAGGCCAGGCAGGAGGCTGGGGTAAGGGTCCAGGAGGGCTGTGGGGATAGAAAGGGGCAGAGAGAGCCCTGGGGAAGGAAGGATGGGGCTTGGGGATTGATGGCCTGTTTGGGGAGACTGACGGGGTAAGGATGGCAGCTGAAAGTCTAGCCCAGTGACTGGGTGGATGATGTGAGACACCTTAGTATAGGGTGATGTTGCATCGTGAAGATATCTGAGAGTCCAGGGACCCCCTGGGGGTTTCTTCCTAGCAGAAGGGACATTTGAGCTGAGTCATTAAGACACATGAGAGTTGGTCAGGATGAGAAGGGGTAGTATAAGGGTTTTCCAGGCAGAGAGAATAGCACCTGCAAAGGCCTAGAGATAGGAACCGCTTGACATGTTTGAGAGATACCTTGCATTCAGTGTTGATAGAGCAAAAAGAGGGTTTTCAGGTGGGAAGAGTTTGAAGATAGGAAGATATCAGAGATGGGCTTCAGAGGTAGGCAGGGCCAGGACGCATAGGGATTCTAGGGCCTCAGCACCATGCTGAGGGTCTGGGACCTTATCCTGGGGGCACTGGGCAGCCAAGGGGAGGATGCTGAGCGAGGAAGAGGCATATTTGTGAGATCTTGGAGGTGAAGGAGGAGAGATTCCAACCATAGCTGGGGCTGGTTACTAGAAAGAGGACTCTGGGGGCCGGCCCGGTGGCGCACTGCGCTAGTGCGCCACTTGGGAAGTGCGGCGGCGCTCCCGCCGAGGGTTCGGATCCCACATGCAGACCGGTTCCCGCTCACTGGCTGAGCGAGGCGCGGGGGCAACGCCGAGGGCTGCGATCCCGTTGCCGGTCCCGGTCCGGTGCGGGGGTGACACTGAGGGTTGTGATCCGTTGCCGGACACGGAAAAAGACAAAAAAAAAAAATAAAAGAAAGAGGACTCTGTCCTCAGGGGCCGAGGGACCCAACCCGGGTCCCCACATGTCTCCTTCCTTTCCTCCTGGGCAGGTATTTCATGAACATTACCTGGGATAACCGAGATTACTCCTTCAATGAGGATGGCTTCCTGGTGAACCCCTCCCTGGTGGTTATCTCCCTCACCAGAGACAGGACTTGGGAGGTGGTGAGTTGCAACCCAGACCTCAGGCATGGGAGAGGGCCTGGACTCCTGGGTCCTGGCAGAGGAGGAGCCTGAGGTCCTGGACTCTGAGGGAGGAGTGGGCTGGGAGCCAGGACCCCTGGGTCCTGGGGGAGGATGGGACTGAAGGCCCAGACTCCTGGGTCTGAAGAAGGAAAGGGCTCCTCAATACTGGAGGGAAATGGTGCCCACACTCCTAGGCCTGAGAGAGAAGGAACATGGAGGCAGGACACCCCAGAAAGTCCCCCCAGGAAGCATGACTCTCTTTCTCTTTGGAAGGTGGGCAGCTGGGAGCAGCAGACTCTCCGCCTCAAGTACCCGCTATGGTCCCGCTACGGTCGCTTCTTGCAGCCAGTGGATGACACGCAGCACCTCACAGTGGCCACGCTCGAGGAGAGGCCGTTTGTCATTGTGGAGCCTGCTGACCCCATCAGTGGCACTTGCATCCGAGACTCAGTCCCCTGCCGGAGCCAGCTCAACCGAACCCACAGGTGACAGCCCGGGATCCAGGAGTTCCAGCTTTAAATTCCTCCTCCCTTGAAGCCCAGTAGTTTTGGCTTGTAGTCCCTTCCTCCCTTGGGACCCAGGACCCCCAAAGCACTCCAGCTTGGTGACCTTGAGCAAGCCCGGTAACTCTTTTGAGTCTGTTTTCCTTGAAAGCGCTAACCATAGTTTTAGCTGCTGCCTGTGCCTTCCTCCATACTCTTACCTCACGGGAGAGTATAACGGGGTTCCCCAAACCTCCGCAAGCTTGGTCCCTCCCCGCAGCCCTCCACCTGACGCCCCCCGCCCGGAAAAGCGGTGCTGCAAGGGTTTTTGCATCGATATTCTGAAGCGGCTGGCGCAGACCATAGGCTTCAGCTACGACCTCTACCTGGTCACCAACGGCAAGCACGGGAAGAAGATCGACGGCGTCTGGAACGGCATGATCGGGGAGGTGAGGCAGGCCAGGACACGGTGCGGTCAGGGGATCTTTGGGGGCGACGCGGGCAGAGCAAGGAGGCGGGAATCCTGGTGTTGGAGGGAGCGTGCTCAGAAGGAGGGACCTCCGTGCCCGAAGGCGCGGGGCGAGGACAGGGTACGAGACGGACCGCTGGTAGGAAGGGCCGGGTGGAGAAGCAGTGGGGCGAGGCCAGGAGAAGGGACCCTTGGGGCTGGTGGAGGCGGGGACAGAAGGGTGGAACTGCTAGGAGAAGGGGGCGGGCCGGGCAGATGTAAGCCAGAGCCTTGGTGGGGGCAGCGGAGCGGGTTGGGGCTGTCTCTCCCCGCTCCTGCTCCCTTTCTTTCAACTGCACCTTTCCCTGGCCCACTCTGCGTCCCTCTTTGTCGTCCTGTCCCTGGTCTCCACCTGGGGCCGGCCTTTGCCTACCGTCGGCCTCCACCTGAGCCGGGTTCCCTGGCCCGCCCCTCGCTCCTTTCCCAGGTGTTCTACCAGCGGGCGGACATGGCTATCGGCTCCCTCACCATCAACGAGGAGCGGTCGGAGATCGTGGACTTCTCAGTCCCCTTCGTAGAGACGGGCATCAGCGTCATGGTGGCACGCAGCAATGGCACCGTGTCCCCCTCGGCCTTCCTCGGTGAGCTGGGACCCTGGCACAAGGAGCCAGACCTAGTAGGCACGGCTGGAGCAGCTGCCCCCAGCCGTGTGGGCCCGAGGGTCAGAATACCTGACTCCCGTCCCGGTATGGCCTGTACTGGCTGTGTGACTCTGGTGAAGTGTGACATCACTTCTGAGCCTCAATTTCCTAATCTGTAAAATGGGAGAAATAATTTCCCCTACCAGTAGGAGTTTTACCAAGAAACTGGGGTTCAGGAGCCTTCTCTCACCCAGCCCCTTCCAAAGTCTGGCACCTGGTTTGGTGTTCATTATGTTGTATTCTTTTTTTCTTAAAGAGAGCCCTCCGAGTTGTGTAAGCTTTAGGCCCCACAAAACCCAAGCCTTCCCCTGTCTCTAGGTTTGAGATAAAGAAGAGATTAGCACTGTACTGCACATTGTAAGCACTCAAGTCACCCATCGCAGTGTTTATTGAGCGCCTCGTATGTGCCAGTCTCTGGGCTACACACTGGGAACATATGGTGGATGAGGCAGACACAGATTCCTGCCTTCTAGAAGCTCTCAACCTCCTGGGGGGACATAAAATAAACTCTTAAAGGAATACATAGACAAAATCACTTCAGATGGTGATAATTACCTCAAGCCAGGGTGAAGAGATGGTGAGGAATAGGGTTGGTGCTGGGTGTGTGTGGACAGGAGAAGCCCCTTTTAGGAGGTGACTCAGCCCTGAATAGTTGTGGCTGGAAAAGCATTCTAGGCAGAGGAAACAGAAATAGCAAAGGTCCGAGGGCTGGCCCGTGGCTTACTCAGGAGAGTGTGGTGCTAGTAACACCAAGGCCGCGGGTTTGGATCTCATGTAGGGGTGGCCAGTTAGCTCACTGGGTGAGCGTGGTGCTGACAACACCAAGTCTAGGGTTAAGATCCCCTTACCGGCCATCTTCTTTTTAAAAAAAAAAAAAAAGTAAAAGAAAAAAAGAAATGGTAAAGGTCCCAAGGTGGGAATGTGTGTGGAGGGTTTGTAAAAGCACTGCCGGCCTGTGTGGCTGGAAGGGTGGGGCAGTGAGGGTAAGAAGTGTGGGAGGTGAGGGCTGTGAGGGCATGTGGCAGATATTACAGGGCCTTGGAAACAACGGTAGGAAATTGGAGTTTTATTCTTATTGCAATGACAAGAGTTTTAACTACAGAAGGTGGTGTGGGGATATATGATCAGATTTAGACTTTTTGGCAGCTCTGTGGAAGCAGGAGGCTGGGGAGGAGGCTACTAGAGAGGTCCATGCCAGAGAAGGGTAGGGACATGCAAGGGGGATGAGACAAGTAGACCAGTAGGTGTGGTTAGGAAGCTGCCATCCACATGGGCTGATGACTTTGAGGTGGATTGGGTAGAAGTCCCGTTTCCTGAGCTGGAGAAGACAGAAGGAGGATACATCAGGCCAAGGGCAAGAGTTCTCATCAGTTCCCACTTGCTCTCTGAAGTCTGAGCAAAACTTCTGAGACAGGGAAGGGGCTGGAAGAAGAGACATCCCTTCCTTCATGTTTTGTTTTCTGTCTATTTCCCCCAACCATGTCTCCTGTGGCCTTCTCTGCACTGAGGTCTCTGCAGGGCACACTGAGAAGTACCACGGGGAGCCCCTGCCTTCAGGCAACACATAGCAGGGGAGTGATAAGGTCCTATTCATGCTCCACCATGTTGCCCAGTAAAGGTGACAGCATATCCACAGACGCCACAGTGACAGTCCAGGGTGGTGACCTTGCTGCGATGTCCTGGCAGCTCATACTTAGCTCTTGGAGGTTGAATCACCTAGTACTAATCTCAAGGGAATGTGATTTTGGTTTGTCAGTGAGCTCCCAGAGCAACAAAAAATTATTGAATATGAGGAGGGGACACGTCAATGGGAGTTTGTCTGATGGACAGGTCAAGATAGCACCTCTGGCGGGGGAGCTGAGGAGACAAGGCAGAGAGGGTGTGGCTTGCTTGGGCAACTGTGAGTTCTGGTTAAAGCATGGGTGCTTGAGAGAGTGATCAAGCCAGAGAGAAGGGTAGGACAAGGCTGAGTGGTGGAAACTTTGTCCTGGGGGTGCTGGGGAGCCATGGGAGAGCTGTGAGCGGGGGGGGGGGCAGGGTCGCCACTGAGCTGTTGGGGGCACAGGCTGGAGGGGCGACTGGAGGCCAGGAAGCTGGGGAGATGGTCCACGGAAGGCCATGAGGCCTGAGCCATTTTGGCCACAAGAACAGAGAGGAGACGCCCATGTAGCATGAGGGAGGGGGACAGTAGCATGGGCTGGGGATTGACAGGCTGTAGCAGGTGAAGGAGATGGAGAAGGGTAGGATGGCAAATGGGGTTTTAGCCTGTGACTGGATGGATGGTGTGGCTGCCAAGATGGAAAGCCTGGAAGCTGGTCTGCTCAGTGTGGAACATGATAAATGGCCTGGGGGCATGGCTAGGGGGAGGTGGAAACTTGGGTCTGGCGCCCAGGAAACATTTATTTTTTATATTTTATTTTTATTTTTATTTATCTTTTTTTTCTTTTGGAAAACCTATAGAACATTTTCTTTTTTTTTTTTTTTTAATTTTATTTTGTCGATATACAATGTGGTTGATTATTGTGGCCCATTACGGAAACCTCCCTCTCTCCTCCTTCTCCCCCCTCCCAACCAACAATGTCCTTTCTGTTTGCTTGTTGTATCAACTTCAAGGAATTGTAGTTGTTATGTCTTCTTCCCCCCCCCACGTTTTTTTTTGTGTGTGTGTGTGTGTGTGTGTGTGTGAATTTATTTATTTATTTTTATTTCCCACCAATAAGTGAGAACATGTGATATTTCTCTTTCTGTGCCTGACTTGTTTCACTTAATATAATTCTCTCAAGTTCCATCCATGTTGTTGCAAATGGCAGTATTTCATTCGTTTTTATAGCTGAGTAATATTCCATTGTGTATATATACCACATTTTCGGTATCCACTCATCCGATGATGGACATTTGGGCTGGTTTCAACTCTTTGCTATTGTAAAGAGTGCTGTGATGAACATTCGGGAACAGATATACCTTCGACTTGATGATTTCCATTGCTCTGGGTATATTCCCAGCAGTGGGATAGCTGGGTCATATGGCAGATCTATCTGCAATTGTTTGAGGAACCTCCATACCATTTTCCATAGAGGCTGCACCATTTTGCAGTCCCACCAACAATGTATGAGAGTTCCTTTTTCTCCGCAACCTCACCAGCATTTATACTTCAGAGTCTTTTGGATGTTAGCCATCCTAACTGGGGTGAGATGGTATCTCTGTGTAGTTTTGATTTGCATTTCCCAAATGCTGAGTGATGTTGAGCATTTTTTCATATGTCTGTTGGCCATTTGTATATCTTCCTTAGAGAAATGCCTACTTAGCTCTTTTGCCCATTTTTTTAATTGGATTGCTTGTTTTTTTTTCTTGTAAAGTTGTTTGAATTCCTTGTATATTCTGGATATGAATCCTTTGTCAGATGTATATTTTGCAAATATTTTCTCCCACTCTGTTGGTTGTCTTTTAACTCTGTTAATTGTTTCTTTTGCTGTGCAGAAGCTCTTTAGTTTGATATAATCCCATTTGTTTATTTTCCTTTGGTTGTCCGTGCTTTGGGGGTCATATTCATGAAGTCTGTGCCCAGTGTATCTCCTGTGTTTTCTTTAAGAAGTTTTATTGTTTCAGGGTGTAAATTTAAATCCTTAATCAATTTTAAGTTGACTTTAGTGTACGGTGAAAGGTATGGGTCTAGTTTCATTCTCCTGCATATTGATAGCCAGTTATCCCAGCACCATTTGCTAAAGAGGCAGTCTCTTCCCCAGTGTATAGGCTTGGTGCCTTTGTCAAAGACCAGATGACTGTAGGTGTGTGGGTTTATTTCTGGATTCTCTATTCTATTCCATTGATCAGTGTATCTGTTTTTATGCCAGTACCATACTGTTTTGGTTATTATAGCTTTGTAGTATAATTTAAAGCCAGGTAGTGTTATGCCTCCTACTTTATTTTTTTTACTTCCAGCTTTATTTTTTTTGCTCAACATTGCTTTCGCTATGCGTGGTCTTTTGTTATTCCATATAAATGTCTGGATAGTTCTTTCCATTTCTGAGAAAAATGTCATTGGGATTTTGATG